GCAGAGGCGGCTGGATGACGTCTGCAGACGCATCGCAGTGGCGCCTGTAAGACGTCTGCAGACGCCTGGCAGAAGCGCCTGTCCAACGCCTGTGCAACGCCTCGCTGTCGCCTCGCACAGGCTCCTCATCTGGATTGGTTGGAATCAATGCCAAAGTGGCTGGAATTAATACCAAGGGGGTTGAAATGTGTTCTAGTTGGCTGTATAATGTGTCCCACTGCCGGTTCCGCCCCCCGCCCACCCGGTTCGGAATGGGAGGCTGCGTCACCCCCCCGCCCAGTTCGAACCAGGAAGGGACGGGGTTTGCCAACGGCGGCAGCAAGAGCTCTGTCCGGAGCTGAGGTCGGGCATGTCCCCCTACAGGCGGATTCTTGACTACTCCTCCTGCACAGGGACATGCCCGACCTGGGGAGGGGGGGGAGGAGGAGGAGGAGGAGGAGGAGGAGGAGGACGAGGAGAAGCAGGAGGAGGAGGAGGAGGAGGAGGATTTTTGACTATTCCTCCTGTACAGACCAAAGCCTCTTGGGAGCCCTGCCTGGGGCCTCTCGGCAGGGGCCCCGGCCCCGCAGAGGGGCGCCCTGGCGCACCGCCCGACAGCCCGAGCCCCGCCCGCACTGCACCGCACGGCGGCCCGTGAGGGCGCCACCGGCGGCAACTCGCGGGAGCCTCCCGCGCCATCGTGCTGGCCTCGAGGATTTTGCGAGTGGTACCCCACTGCTCTTTTGCGGGCGTGTCGACGTTGACCCCCCCCATGCGGATGGCCTGTCCTGTCCTGTCCTGTCCTGTCCTGTCCTGTGCTGTCCTATCCTGTCCTGTCCTGTCCTGTCCTGTCCTGTCCTGTCCTGTCCTGTCCTGTCCTGTCCTGTCCTGTCCTGTCCTGTCCTGTCCTGTCCTGTCCTGTCCTGTCCTGTCCTGTCCTGTCCTCCTCCTCCTCCGCCTCCTCCGCCTCCGCCTCCTCCCCCTCGTCCCTCCTCCGCCTCCTCCTCCGCCTCCTCCTCCCTCCTCCTCCTGATCCTCCTCCTCCTCCTCCTCCTCCTCCTCCTCTTCTTCTTCTTCTTCTTCTTATTCTTCTTCTTCTTCTTATTATTCTTCTTATTATTCTTATTCTTCTTCTTATTCGTCTTCTTCTTCTTATTCTTCTTATTCTTCTTAGTATTATTCTTCTTATTATTCGTATTCTTCTTCTTTTTATTTTTCGTCTTCGTCTTCGTCTTCGTCTTCGTCTTCGTCTTCTTATGATTATTCTTATTATTCTTCTTCTTCGTCTTCTTTGTCGTCTTCGTCTTCTTCTTCTTATTCGTATTATTATTATTCTTCTTATTATTCTTCTTCTTCGTCTTCGTTTTCGTCTTCGTCTTCGTCTTCGTCTTCTTCTTATTATTCGTCTTCTTCTTCTTATTATTCTTCCTCTTCGTATTCTTCGTCTTCTTCGTCTTCTTCTTCTTATTCTTATTCTTATTCTTCTTCTTATTCTTCTTCTTATTCTTCTTATTCGTATTATTATTATTCTTCTGATTATTCTTCTTCTTCTTCTTATTCTTCTGCTTCTTCTTTTTCTTCTTATTCTTCTTCTTATTCTGCTTATTCTTCTTATTATTCTTCTTCTTCTTCTTCTTCTTCTTATGCTTCTTATTATTCGTCTTATTCTTATTCTTCTTCTTATTATTATTATTATTATTATTATTATTCTTATTCGTCTTCTTCTTCTGCTTCTGCTTCTTGTTCTTCTTATTCGTCTGCTTCTTCTTCTGCGTCTTCGTCTTCTTCTTATTATTATTATTATTATTCTTCTTCTTATTATTATTCTTCTTCTTCTTCTTCTTCTTCTCCTTCTTCTTCTTTTCCTTCGTCTTCTTCTTATTATTCTTATTCTTATTCTTTTTCTTCTTTTCTTATTCTTATTCTTCTTCTTCTTCTTCGTTTTCGTATTCGTCTTCGTCTTCGTCTTCGTCTTCTTCTTCTTATTATTATTATTCTTCTTCGTCTTCTTCGTTTTCTTCGTCTTCTTATTCTTATTCTTCTTATTATTAGTATTATTCTTCTTATTATTCTGCTTCTTCTTCTTATTATTCTTATTATTCTTCTTCTTATTATTTTTATTATTCTTCTTCTTCTTCCTCCTCCTCCTCCTCCTCCTCCTCATCCTCCGCCTCCTCCTCCTCACCGACGCCAACCGACGCCACATCGGCGCTCCTCGAGCACCAGACGCTGGCGCACGCGAGTGCACTCTGACGATGGAGTTGCGAGGACACACAAGGCCATGACTTGCGAATTGCTGCACCGAGCCCCGCCACCTGCACTGCACGGCGGCCAGTGCGGTCCGGCAGCGCCGCACTCCCCGGAGGCCCCGGCGTCGCCGTCTTTCCACAGCCAGCGCCTTCGCCTGGCTTCGACACCGGGGCCAGCACGGGTCGACGCGGCTCGAAGGATGCCGCACAGGGTCCAGGCCGCGATGTACCGCGACGTTGTCGCTGTCTCGCAACGTCTCGGATCTCGGGGCCCCCTAAAGATCCGACGGCGCGAGTGTAAAATACAACGTCTCGAAGAAATCACGGCCAGAGCCCCAGACCCCATGCTTCTGCAGCACTGTTCGAGTGCAGATGTCGCTCTGTGAGGGTCCACGGGGCCCGAAGTTGTGCGAGAACAACGCCTGACTCGAAAACAGTACGACGCTGGGGCAACTGGGACGAAAAGCTGCATAACATAAAACTTCGGTGGCAACTCATGGGAGCCTCCCATACCCTTTTGTCGGCTCTTGCGAATCGACGCTAATCGACGCTAAATCGACTCTAAATCGACGCCAATCGACGCTAAATCGACGCTAAGTCAACGCTAATCGACGCCAACCGACGCTAGCTCGGCGCTATATCATCGATTACCAAACGTTATAATCGACGCGAATGCACTCTAAAGACAGAACTACGAAGGTACACAAGGCTAGAAGCCTCCTAGATGGGGTCCGAGTAGATGGGGTCAGAGGATCG